CAAGGGGAAGGTGTTAGGCACCCCTTAGGATCCACTAGTGTAGTTCCCGGCCAAACTATTGTTGTGACTTAAGTACAAATAACACATAGGCAAATAAAACTCCAAGTAAGAGGGGATTTTCACATAATGGTTACAAATAAGCAAAGTTATAAAGAAGGAAAGGGATACTGATTTTTCCTTATAGAAATAGTTTAAAATTTGGAAAAAAAAAGCAAAGAATCAAAGAAACAAAGGGAAGGGGGTTCTAGGTTTATAAATAATATGGATCACCCCACACGACATCCGACAATCACTCCTCAGTGAGGGGCTACACGTGATGTTATCGCGTGGTCATCATATCCATATCTACCCTTTCCCACCCCGTTAAGTTATTAAAGAGCGGAATGGTCTCGTTTACTTATTCCATGCTATTACCCACCCCAATCCTATCAGACCCAGAGGCAGTTAGGACTACCAATCCTAAAGGGAAGGGATATTGGTCTTGTTTATAGTTTCAAAGGCAAAAACTCTAAGGCGACATACAAAAACACGTACAGCAAGTTGGGGGAATACACATAAACAAGTGAAGGGCTCTGATAGACCTCCTTTAAACCAAAGAAAGCACATAATTTAGCATGACTTACACATACTGTTTAAGGTCCGATTAAAACTTAAAGGTTGAGACAGACTGATTTATTACATAGTTCAGATAAGAAGCTCGAATCAGGCCTGCCTGCTGGTTGTAGCTAATAGAATCTGATTCAGTTATAATTTTAGCCCTAAGGCTTGCCTAGGTGTTGGACGAGGCTCCAATAGGCATGATGTCTACTGATTTCAAAAACGATGAAATAAACTGAATACATACTGATTTAAGAAAGTCGTCAGTTATTAAAGAAAGCAAGTTTTACCAAGAGATCATAAGTTCTGCAACTGATGGTCGTCATTATTACTGGTTTTAGACTTATAAGCGGGTGAAGTGATTCAGACTTGATCAATAACTCTTATGGACATGCTTTCTATGCGTGTTAATTTTAAACCCCTTTTAACAGACATGGTAAAATGCAGAAAACCTATAAGCATGATATCTAGGTGCTAAATTTCGTTTCTAGCCTATGAACATGATATCTAATTGCAGTTGATTGATTAAGACCTATAAAATGATTGCTTGAGGAAGAATGTATATGCAAGATTCAGAAAGACCTATAGGCATATTTTCTATGTGTGTATGCAGGACTCAGATTTTCGGGTAATTATAGACATGGTATCTATATAAGAGAATGCAGAATTCCTATAGATATGGTATCTATATGAGAGAATGCAGAATTCCTATAGACATGGTATCTATATGAGAGTGCAGAAATTCAGAAGTAACCTATAGGCAGGATATCTATATGAGAGTGCAGAAATTCAGAAGTAACCTATAGGCAAGTTATCTATAAGAGAGTGCAGAAATTCAAAAATAATCTATAGGCAAGTTATCTATATGAGAGTGCAGAAATTCAAAAATAACCTATAGCCAGGATATCTATATGAAAGTGGAAGAAATTCAAAAATACACCTATAGGCAAGTTACCTACCTTTTGCATACACAGTTATCCCTCCCCTTTTCACTAGCCATCCCCAAGAGTGTATTACAAAATTATTACAGCCCGGAATGAAAATTAAAAAAAAAAGAAAATACATCAAAAATTAATAAGTACAACCAAGGAGAGCCTGATTCAGACTTTCTGTCTGAAATATGAAGTAAACCAACTCCAATGAGATCATGATCCAAAGCCTTTCTACCATTTGAATGTGTCAGAGTTCCCTAAGAGCCTCGTATGGATTCCGGGCAGTGCTCACACCTAAATGTATCACCAGATTAGGACATAGGGCAGTGTGGAAGGGCCAGCCCTCGAGTGTCCGAGTTCAGAGGGAACTCAAGGTCCCAAAGCAAGGCTCACAAGAGGGGGGTAGAACATAGGGACTGAGAGAGAGTGCAAGTGCAGAAACAGAGCTGTGAGAGGGGAAAGGGAAAGGGAAACAACTTAAACCAGTACACATAAGGGTATAGGGGAGGTGGTAAAGAAGCAAAGACAGGCTGGTGGGCGTACCCAACAATCACTACTACAAAAAGGACCTTTGGCGGCAATTATTTAGCGGCAATAAGACAATGATCACTAATAAATTCTTTAAGCTTAAATATTAGCGGCATATGATCATTAGCCAGTAAAAGATATCCTTTTACAAGCAATTAAAAATAATAGTCACTAAAAATTACTAATTATAATTAATATTTTATTATTTGAACTTTCCCCCCGCACAAAGAAGAGAAAATCTTTCCCTCCAATTTTTTTTTATACCTTTTTTCGTTTCCCTCCCCAATTAGAATTAGAAAATAACAGAAGGAAAACTTTGAATCGTTCTACTTGAATCAACTTCACTACCAAAAAGCCCTAACTCGCTGATGCATCAAGGCCAGTGCGCAGAAACTTCACTCCCAAAAAGCCCTAACTCGCTGCTGCATCAACTCCAGTGTGCGGAAACGCCAGTGCGATTTACAGTGCGTCAACTATTGTGTACATCTTCTTCCCAGGTAAATTATTTCTCTTCGATTTTACAATTGATTTACAGAAAGATCAATTCAATATTTACAGAAGACAGTGCGTCAATGGCAGTGTTAACTTCTCTTCGTCCAATCAATTTACAGTAGATTTACAGTAAATCAGTTCCTTCCAATCGATTTACAGTAGATTTTGTATTGATGTTGGTCGATTGATTTACAGCAAATCAGTTCCTAACTCTTTGTTGCGTCAACAGCCTGTTGTAGTGCTGGTCCATCTTCTTCCCATGTTAAGTTCTCTTTTTCCCCTGTTAAATCAGTCGCCTGCAATCGATTTACAATAGATTTTGGATTGATGCTTGTCGGTTGATTTACAATAGATTCTGTGTAATTTAATCTAGTAAAAGTCATGTTATATGGCTGTTCTCAGTATTTGTTTGGTCTATATTTCTTGTCCAATGAAATATGTATTCTGTAGATATTGCAAAAATAAGAATCAAACAGTGTTCTGCTGTAACTATAAAGGAATGAAATCTGGTGCCTTAGCATTAAGCTTACTGCTTGAACCTACTTTTGAGGAGCTGCTTATTCTAGGCAGTGTAGGCGAGCCAACTATTTGCTCCAGTATGGGTGAATTATGAAAGTGCTAGTGTGGAAATGGAAGTGTTAGTGTGGAAATGGATGTGTTAGTGTAGCTGGAGTGTTATATAAATGGGTGAATTATGGGAAAGGATGGCGTGCGAGATGGGGTGTTGTCCTATTATAAGGTTCATGGACCGGATAAAATTGCTATGAGTCCAGGGAAAGAAAAGGGGTTAAAGGTTATCGGGGATGAGTCTTGGAGGTATATGAGGAAGGCTAACAATTGACCGTATGGATCCAACAAGTGGAAACCATTTGGGGAAATACATTTGAAGGTAGATGTGTGTGTGTGTGTGTGTGTGAATGCACCACAAATACATACAGTGAATAATTTAAAAACTATGGGAATGCACCTGATCAAGCATATCCTTGTTTATTGTTTACTTTTGCCTTAACTTTTAAGTAAGTTTGTTAGATACTTGTGAGTTAGCCTTTTCGAACACTTATGGAATGTAATCTTGAAATTTAAGTTGTTGTGCAACTTGGGCAATGCATCAATTTGTATATTTTAAGGATTGCATTGAATTTTATCTTAGAAATGTGAACTTTGATTTATCAGTCTGTAGACAGGAAATTAGTGTCAAAGAGTATGGACCATAGGACATGGATGCTCAGAAATGCACCATTAAGATAGAAATCAAGAAAATTTGACTTATTTTTTAGCTTCTGTTCTCATATATTGTAGCATAGGTCATCAGAGCAGAAGACAAAAGTTTGTAAAAGTTGTTGCATGCATATAACTATTGATTGAGGAATGTAAATCTTTTACTAGATAAAATGTATGCTGGGTGAAGGAAATGAAGAATGATAACCTTAAGAGGAATAGTCCTATATCAAAGTCTAATCTGTTTGTGTGTGAGGACAGATAAGGCATGATTTGTTTACTACCAGAGTATCTTATTGTCCAGCATATGAGAATTGAATAAATCATCTCGTATTTCTTTTCTGGTTGCTGATCCGCCATATCTGCCCTGTGTCATAAGTTCCTACAGATTCTGGATCACTCTTCCGTAATTAACTCTTGTAATTTTCAACCATACTTAATGTGAGTCATAAATTATCCTCTACAGATTCTGGAAGTATGCCTGTATCTGTCAAATTACCTCTACTTGTGGTAGGCTGTGGGTATATATATTCTGATCAACTAGCAAACCTACAACAATATGTCATACAGGTCTCCTCAGAATTGCTCCAGCTACTAATCCTCCTAAAAGGCTGTCATATGTTCTTCTTCACTTTCTTGATCATCTTCCTCGATTGACTCCACAATACTCCAACGACTGTGTTGGAACTTCAAAAACAGAGGTGTTTAATGTAACCTCTGTGCAACAAGATTTTAGAGGAAGAGATAATTGTGAAAAAAGTGAAGCCAACCCCCTAAAACTTGTGCACTTAATCTACAAGAGACGCTAGATATAGGATGGGAGATTATATCTCTCCTTATTATAAGGAGGCCATGGATTTCTCTCCTTATTAAAGAAAGGACAAGTCAACTTCATTATATGTTATATTTCCCATATAACCTGTTAACTTTACCGATTCTGCACTTATTCCATGACTCTGTTGCCTGTGTTATTCTGCTATACCTTCAACTAGTGACTAGAGGATAGTTGTATAAGGCTAGAAAGTGGATCCTTTAGTATACCAATTGCTATTTCGTTTAATTATACCAGTAACTTGGTATTGTTATTTGTTAGTAACTAGTACCTTCCTTTATTGCTCGCATTCATCTCTCTAGAAATCTTTTTGCCTGTACATATCTTCTATGGAAGCTAATCCTTTAAATGATGGAAATTTGATATCTGGTGTTCTTCGTTTTATGTGTATTCTCCTCCTTTAGAAGGATATGCTTCCGGGAGCTATGAAAAGGCAAGACTACGTTTTGCTCATGCAAAAACTCTACTTCCATTTTCATGCTTGCTTGGGCTCTTTCTTGAAGAATCTGGTGAGCGTTTATCAATAGGATTGTTTTAGGCTTCTACTGCCTCTGGTTTCTTAATCAATTTTATATAGTGAATGTTGCAGAATTTGAACTAATACAAAGAGAGGAGACGTTGCAATTCCCTCCTAAGCCTCCTGCAAAGAGAAACTGGTGGGGAAGTATAGTGACACCTTTTGCTGGAAATAACATGCTGGTCCTTTACAGCTGCGTGTCAAATAACTCAAGCAAGTACTTTGTGAAAGTGCTGCACAATGAACGTCTGATTCCTATTACAGTAAGTTTTCTGATCACATTCTTTTGAACATGAACCACAGGTTGTTTCACCATATTATTATTCAACATCATTGCATTTTGAGTATCCTTAATAATTTGTTTGACGTGAGGAGTATAAAAATGAAGTGTTGGAACATCTCCATCAGTTACTATTTAAACCTTTCCTTGTCATTATACCGTTATTTAACTGATTTAACCATATAAGTTTTTACCATTTGATGACCTTTGAATCTTCTATTCTAGGTATTTGGATTTCAATATGTTTAGATTTCCAATGTTTGCAATAAATTGGTCTACTAATATTTGGTAATATTGAGCTTGTTTTTCAATATACAGTGAATAGCATGTAATTAAATTAAGATTTCCACTTTCTGCGATGAATCTGTCAGCTGGTATCTGGTAAAATCAAATTTGTTCTCTACTTGTCTACATTTGATAGCTTCCAACTTCAATTTTGTCCAGACACAATTAATTGACGATCTTTAATATGTTGTACCGAAGAAATGTTCTCAATTTGAGCACCAGAGTGTTAAGAATAACTATAATTTTCTAAAGTTTTCTTCATGTTTTACTGGCATCCTTAGGTCATCCATGATGTAGATCGGCAGGAGGCTCCTGTGCGTTTTATTATTACAAGTGATGGATTAGTAGGATCTGATGGTCCTACACAATGTGGGGAGTTTGATATAGCATTTATGTTCTGTTTGCCAAACATGATTGTGATGGCTCCTTCTGATTAAGTTGAGCTTTCTCATATGGTTGCAACTGCTGCCCTTATTGATGACCAGCCAGTTTGCTTCCACTACCCTCGCGGCACCCTTTCAGTGACGGACCATTCCTCTGGTAGTGGAATTCCCATTGAGGTAATATTTCGTCAAAGACATCTAGAAAAGTTCTGACTCGTTCATAACAAAATAGTTTAGAGCAGGTTTGGTATGCATTGTTAACCATATACTTTTACTTTAAGTTATGTGACATATTTAAGTATTTTATCCGACAATCACTTGTTTGGATAACATGATCAGTCTACATAAAACAATCAAAATAGCCCTTCGTATTTGAATTTAATTAGTTAAAGATTTAGTCCACCTTGCTTGAATATTGCATTTATACACTTGTTATTTGGTGATCGAGGAGCAGGTTGGCAAAGGGAGAATACTTACAGAGGGTAAAGATATTGCTTTACTTGGCTATGGTTCCATGGTACAAAATTTTCTTAGAGCTCAATCTCTTCTTTAGAAGCTTGGTGCTGAAGTGACTGTCGCTGATGCAAGGTTCTGCAAGCCTCTTGACATAAAGCTACTCAGACACTTATGCAAAAACCATTCCTTTCTAGTTACAGTCGAGGAAGGCTCTATAGGAGGATTTGCTTCACATGTTGCACAGTTCATGACTCTATTGCTTGTGTTATTCTTCTATACCTTCAACTACTGACCTTTGAATTTTCTATTCTAGGTATTTGACTTTACTAAAATACTTCATAGATGAGACTATACATACTTTTGGGACATTAATGAAGCAGATTCTTGCAATTTTGCTTGTGTCCCTTTATGGTTATGGACTTTTAGTTTCATAACCTCGCAAACTATTATCAACTTTGTTGTTTGGCAACATTTACTTCCTATTGACATAGTTATTTTATAATTTCAGGTCATACAGTTTAGCGGGTGGAAGATTTCAATATGACGAAGAGTTTCAGAGATTATTTGAAGATTGTTATTCGTTAAGATTAGTTATATAATGACATTAGCTATTTACTTCAAACAATCCGAGTTATTTTTTTAAGGTTTTGTGATATTAATATTTTGGATTAGTACTTCCTTTTGTTTGTTAAGATTTAACGAGATATACTATAGTTTTGTGAATTAATATCAATATGTTTTGTTATTTGCATTATTTTTTGGTCGAATGTAGTACATATTATTAATGGTGGCTAAACTTACCGTTATAGCTTGTGAATTTTAGTGCCAATTTAACAGGATTAAGACGTTTATATAGGGATACTGTAACCATTATATTCCTATTAAAGATAATTTTTAGCGGAAATTTAATTGACTTTACTATCCATTAAAATGGACGCTAAAGGGGCATACTAATACGTTTTTAGAAGAGATATTGTTGCCACTTTAATTGCCACAAAACAATTACCGCTAAATGTATGGACTTTTAGCGACAAATATTTTGAATTTAGCGGCTATAAAAATGGACGTTAAAGGTGCATTATTAGTCATTTTTAGAATGGGTTTAGCAGCCATAATAATTGCTGCAAACAATTGCCGTTAAAGCAGATGAGTTTTAGCGGCAATAAGTCATACCTTTTACCAGCTTTTTGCAGAAATGCCGCTAAAGGCTTTACCGACCCCGGCATCACCGGCTAAAGATCTATTGCCGGTAAACGATATAGCGGCTATTGTTATTGCCGCCAATGCTGTTTTTTATTGCCGCCAAAGATCTTTTTTGTAGTAGTGAATGGGAAATGTTGGCACACCTATAAGCCTATGAGAACACACTGTTTAGAGATTAGGATCCCAAAGGACCAAGTTTAATTCATGGACAGTAACTTACATATTGCCATGTCTTAAACCATATGCTCAAACACATAAGGATGTAGGGAATAGGGATTCATAGCAGAAAAAAACATAAAGAAAGCAGCATGCTAAGAGCTCTACAGAAATAGTAAGTAGGCATAGATACACAAACTATAAATAAACACATTGTTGTGATGCTGAAGCTTAAATCAAGACATACCAGTTTCAAAGAAACAAGTAGAGAAAAACAGTAGGTCTTGTAAACATGCCACAATGCTGACAAGAAGAGATTATATTGTTGTGTATAAGTGTAAGTCAGGAAGACTGTGTCCTGTTCGCGTGAAAGACTTAGGGTATTTATAGTTGAAAGTAGGTGGTGAAATAAGGTAAAAATCACAGTAGTATGTTAACTTAAGAACTCAGAATCAATCAATTAGAAATCAAGGAAGTACTCCCCTTAGTTATAGGAATCAAAATCAAACGAAAAGATTCAGCACCATATAAGGCAAGAAGAAAAAATCAGTGCATGATTAAATAAGGAAGGAGTTAAGGTTCAGTATGCATATAGTAGTCAATTAGGACCAAATTCAGGAAAATTCCAATTAAGGAAAGGCTCAGTATAACAAGGTACCATAGAAAATAAGGTAACAAAATCAGTTAATTAAAACAGGCGAGTAAAATTCTAGGGCTTTGAAAGAAAGTCTTTCAATTACCAACAATCAAGGAAAATCAGAATCAATCATGTGAAGTCATGATTCTATATTCTCAGCATATAAATAGAGGCGAATGAACAAGAGTAGCAAACAAAGTCGGCCATATAGACAGAAGGGAACAAGAGATGCAAACATAATCATTCAGAGATGGTGTAAATAGGCTAAGATTCAGCAGGACATATTTGAAGCATGGTGACCACGAGACATTAACAAGAATCGGGTAAATAGGCTAGCGCACAGAACCAAAGCAAAGGATGTCAGGCTAACAAACATAATCAAAGCGAAGAAACATGCTAACACATAGAGACAAGGCAAAAAAAATTAGGCTAACACACATAATCAAAGCGAAGAAATATGCTAACACGCATAACCAAAACGAAGAAAAATCTTTAGAAATTAGGGTTTTTAGCAGAGTCAAGCTAAAAAAAAGCAGTAGGAGCATAAAATTGGTCAGCATAAACAAGAAAAAGGTTTAATCATAAAGAAATCGGTTGAAACATGCGTAAAAGAACTCCAAGAAATCCTAGTTTTTCAAAGAAAGTGAAAACAGTTCAAAGTAGATGAACTTTCAGAAGAAGCTCAAGAATAAGCAGAACATAGAAGAAAACATTCTTACAGCATGGAAATAACACCGTTTTGAGAGATTCAGGAGAGAGTTAGGGTTTCAAAAGGAAACCCTAATAGAAGTTGAAAGAACCTGTTGAAACTTCACCGATCGTGACATATAGGGTATGATTTTGCCCAAAGTCACACCGGAGAACCCATAAGTAACAGAACCAGGAACCCTAGGTCCAAATCAACACGGACCAGGATCGTCGAAGGCCCTAGAGATGTTGAGCAAGGCGATAAGAGGCCCATCGGTGACTTGGGGTTGAAAGGAGGTAGCCGGAGATGGCCGGGGAAGGAGGCGATTTGACAGAGTTTAGGGTTAGGTCTTGAGAGAGGAGAGAAGAGGAGATCATCTGAAGGCGGCGTCTTTGGTAAAATGGTATAGGGTTGGGGTCGTTTAGAAATTAAAAAGGAAAGGAGTTGTTTGGACCGTTGATCTGGGAGATCAACGGTTAGGATTAAAATAGGTAGGTGGTTCTGGTTTTTGGGTAAGGTTCAATGGGGTGTGGGTCGGGTTTTTTAATTGTAAAATTGGGCTGGAATTGGTCCGGTTTTGGCCACAATCGAAAGCTAATTATGGCTATAACTTAAATAGCCAATTTTCCCCTATTTAATTTATAAAAAATAGTAAACTAATTTTTGGAAGCAAATTAAAGGTAGTAAATTAATTAATAATATATAAATATTAAATTAAAAATACTGGACTCAATTTTGTAAGTATAAAATGCAATTAAATCTTAAAATAGGCTAATATTATAATTATATGCAATTTAGCTTTAAAAATACTAAATAAATTTGTAAAACTATACAAAAATTATGTTAGCTACATTTTTGCATAAATATAAAACGCCAACAAATAAATTACCAAAAAATAATTTTTGAAATAATCATTGGGTTTTTATGGATGAAACAGGAAAATAAATCATTTTAAAAACCTTAAAATTATGGTAAAAGTAGTAAAAATGCTTGGATATACTTATATATGCGTATATATGCTATTTTAAAGATATTTT